ACTCCTCCCCCACATACACGTACATCCCAGTAATAATCTGGTGATATTTTCATGCCACAGTTGATAATAAAAAATACACTTAATTCAAACCAGTGAGTTATGACCCAGATCTAAGTATAAATATAGTAGAAGTCATAAGTTTCTTTAGTGACAGTCTTACTAATTATTTTGGCCTGTTTTTAGCCACATTGGATATTTTTTCTTTTTAAGGTTGCTATGAATGTTGTTTGCAGCAGCATCAATAAGCCAAGAATTCATATAGTTACTCAATCACACAGATTACTCATCATTGCCTGTTCATAACAGAATCCTAAAATGTTTAAGATTTCTGATGCAAATCAAAATCTCATCATCACTTGTCATTGCTAAATTAAATGACAGGATAATAACATTACATTAAAACCATTTTTCTCTTGATTGAGTACCTTTTTCAGAAGTGAACCTTGTAGATGTATATTTTTTTCATCAGTACTATAAATGCATTTAGAATCCAAGATAAAAATAGAATTGAAAAGGGGAGGAGTAGAGCGGGATGTTTTCAAATTATTGATGAGTCTCTTTTGAATCTCAAATAACCATATTTGACAGGGCACTGCTAGGGAATGGAGTAGTTTTGGCCCAATTTATTGAGACTTTTAGAAATACATAAAGGAGGTTCATAGGTCAAACTTCGTTTTTATTGACACGATCATGTGTTCTTGGCATCAGTCATATGTCATTCCATTGCAGACAGGCTGTTTTCAGTTAGATCACAGCCTAGGTGGGAAGTGAATGTAAATTTCTAATCTGCTAAAACAGAGTAGGTTCTCAGTTGAGTTATTGTGAACTTCTCTCTTGGTCTTTCTTTCCTGTCTAAAGCTAATTAACCTTTGGGGCACACCTGCCATCTCTCCATTGGCTCCGTCTGGCCCTTGGCCCTCTTTGTGGCCAGTCAACCAGTCCTCATGCCACTTGAGCCGATCTTCTCCACTGCCCCTATACCCAGAGCTCCTTTTCCATTTAAAGTCATCTGTTCTTCAAAGATTTTGTTTCCTCGCATCTTCCACCTTCAGTGTTATGAAAATCATATCCTGGAGCAAGTCTTTTACGCTTTTTGCCTCGTTTAATATTATCATTAGAGAGTAACGTCAGTAAAAATCCTTAGCACTTGGAGAAGTCAGTGAAGGTATAGACTGAAACAGGATTGGCTATGAGTTGACAATAATTGAATCTGGGTGATGGGTACATGGGGATAGGGTAAGTCAATATAACATTTCCTCTAGTTTTATATGTTTGGAATTTTCCATAGTAAAAATTTTAAACTAAACTTAGATCTTTAGAATGCTTATATATATATATATATATATATATATATATGCTCTTTTTGAGTCAGTGCATGAATTGGGTGGTATACAGGATGGACTAGGACCAAAACCTAATCCTGCCATCTAAATACCCCACCCCCACCCCACCCCCAAGGAAACAAATAAGATTCTTTAGTGCCCGGCATTGCAACTTCCCTCTTCTCCTTAGGTCCTGAACAGGACTACCAGAATCCTGGCACACTTCCTGCTTCTTGTAAATGACCAGATAAACCTGTACAGAAATGCACAATAACTTGGTCCCATTTATTAAGTCCCACCGTGAATAAAGTTCTGTGCTGGGCATTGGGAAGGGGGAATATGAAGTTATTTCCCTCCAAGAGTTCCCCAGGATGGAAAACAGAGGCACCCGTGAACAACCCTGATGCAGTACAGACTCTAAGAGCCGTCATGTGAAGTAGAGCTACAGCAGTATGACTGTGGGGCAGTGGGGGAGAGAAGAGTTTTGTCAAGCAGACGCGTTCTTGACAGTGATGCGAACTACTGAATGTTATCTTCAAGGAAAAGGTAACCTTTCCTGCTTCTGCTTGCAGTTCTGGCTGCTAAGACTAGAGCTCCATCAGTAAACTTCCCTCTGTCTTCTGAAGAGCTTAAATTGATTGCAGTTTCCAATGTGCTTTTTTTTTTTCTCCTTCTCTTTTAAAATTATGATAGCCTTACTTCTCGTCTGCCAAAAACTGGTGAAACCATCCATGGTCATAAGTTTTTTATTGGCTTTGGAGGGAAAGGTGCCAACCAGTGTGTCCAAGCAGCTAGGCTTGGAGCAAAGACATCTATGGTGTGCAAGGTAAGTGTAAAGTATGGTGGAGAGGGTTCTAGAGGCGAGAACCCGGTTTAAGACATGAGCTCATTTTTTTTAACGATTTTAAAGTGAACAATTTAGTGGCATTTAGTACATTCACAGTGTTGTACAACCACCATTTCTATCTAGTTCCAGAACATTTCCATCATTCCAAAGTAAAAACTCCTTGCCCATTAAGCAGTTTCTCCCCATTCCCCCCTCCCCTCGGCCCCTGGCAACCACCAATCTGCCTTCTGTCTCTACGGATTTATCTATTCTGGATATTTCCTATAAATGGAATTATATGATATGTGACATTTTGTGCCTGGCTTCTTTCACTTAGCATAATGTTTTCAAAGGTTCATCTACCTTACAGCATGTATTAGTACTTATTCCTTTTGTGGCTGAATAATATTCCATTGTATATACCACAATTTCTTTATCCATTTATGTGCTGATGGGCTGTTCCCACCTTTTGGCTGTTGTGAACAGTGCTGCTATAAACAAGTACATGTACATGCATGTTTCAGTATCTGTATGAGTCTTTGAGAGGTTCGTGGTTTTTTTATTTATTTTTATTTATTTTTGGCTGTATTGGGTCTTCATCGCTGCACGCAGGCTTTCTCTAGTTGCAGCGAGCGGGGGCTACTCTTCGTTGCGGTGCACAGGCTTCTCACTGCGGTGGCTTCACTTGTTGCGGTGCACAGGCTCTAGGCACGCGGGCTTCAGTAGTTGTGGCTCGCGGGCTCTAGAGCACAGGCTCAGTAGTTGTGGTGCACGGGCTTAGTTGCTCCACGGCATGTGGGATATTCCCAGACTAGGGATTGAACCCGTGTCCCCTGCATTGGCAGGCAGATCCTTAACCACTGCGCCACCAGGGAAGCCCAGGTTCGTTGTTTTTAAAGATTTAAATAGGAGAGAGTAATCTTCCTTGTCCTTCATATTAGTTTCTACCTCACTGAATCCTCTGGGAAGTAGCAGTCCTCAAATAACTTAATGCTGCATTCCCTGAATTTAATGAGTTTATAACTGGAGTGTAAGAAGTGAGGGGAATTAGCCTACTCCAGTGGTTTTCTGTGGTCCAGCTTCTAAACAACAGCATAAATCATCCTGTTTTTAGCAGGTTTCACTCCAGTAACACAGCTCTTGGAAACTTGGTCTAATAACTGATGATTTACTCATCTCTAAGCTATTTTCTTCTAATGCTGTATCTTGGATCAGAAAGGAATCTGGGGGACTTCCCTGGTGGTGCAGTGGTTAAGAATCCACCTGCCAATGCAGGAGACACAGGTTCCATCCCTGGTCCGGGAAGATCCCACATGCCGTGGAGCGACAAAGCCCGTGCACCACAACTGCTGAGCCCACACACCATAGAGCCCGTGAGCCGCAACTACTGAGCCCGCATGCCTTCTGTTCCTTTCACATCCACTCCCATGGTTTCATGATTCATTTCCCAAGTTCAGTTTCACAATTCAAATATTTCTATTTTGCATTTTGGGAAATGTTCGAGTAAGGAGGCTGGTTAAACAAAGGTGCTATTTGTTTTATTCTGGTCTGTGTATGATGGTTATGTGAGCACCTGTACAATTTTGAAAGTTCTTTATATCTACTGTGACTGATTTAGTTGTCTGTTGTTTAGCCTGGGTGTCTGTACAGTGGAATTTAGCCTGGGTGTCTGTACAGAAAGGACATGGAAACATGGCTTCAGCTAAAACCTATACAAGGTTACTTTGCTTAGATACCCTGGGACCTTTAGACATGGATTTATTTAAGCTTAAACAGATTGCATCATATTCTTAGACTTCTTAAAAAGAAAAAATATCTTTTATAATAAGAGTTATTGTTATCCATTAATCATAATATTTCATTCAATTATGAAGTATATTTTTATTTAGCAAATTAGCCGAACTGCCTTATAGCAAGTTTCTTAAAGATAACAAATTCCAAGTAGAAAACCAAAATCATGAGATTACTCAAGCTAAAAATGAACAGATGGAGCAAAAGAAAAACAGGTAGAAAATTTTCTTAGCAGCCTTAACTTACTACTGCCCTGCAACAAGCTCAGATTCAAGCTCTGATGGAGGAGCACTGGCACAGGCACAACATCCGATACTGAGCTAAGGGGAAATATTTGTCAGGACGTTGTGATGAAGGCTATTAAGCAAGAATCCATCGAGATGCGTACAGTGACACGTGTAATGAAACACTTCAAGTACTTAAGAGTTGTGTAGTCAGTACTCAACTGAGTCACGGGCCAAGGCCACAGTCTGAGGATCATAGGGAGCCCCACCCTCCCTATCCCACCCCACTAGGTGGTCACAAAGCACCGAGCTCATCTCCCTGTGCTATGCGGCTGCTTCCCACTAGCTATCTGTTTTACATTTGGGAGTGTATATATGTCAGTGCTACTCTCTCACTTCGTAAAGGACTTTTTAAATAGGACTCAGATCTCCATTGCTTTTTGTCCCCGTTTCAATACAATAAATATTGTAAGCCTGGGCATAGATATGCTCCCAGTTGGCTATATTGTTCTTATGAAAGGAATAAGATACATGGTTATATATATATGTACATATATATGTGTGTGTATGTGTGTATGCATATATATATATATATTTTTTTTTTTTTTTTTTTGGCCACACCAGGCAGCTTGTGGGATCTTAGTTCCCCAACCAGAGATCAAACCCACACCCTCGGCAGTGAAAGCATGAAGTCCTAACCACTGTACCACCAGGGAATTCTCAAGATACGTGGTTATATTAAACAGCATTATTTACACCAAACCATTAATGGAGCTGTTATGTTTTTACTAAAATAATAATAGTAATACAGTCTCATTTTTAAAATAATGCACCCACCTGCTTGCTTCCATGATCAATTGCTTTTCTGTTGAAGATAGGCAGCAACAGGAAGAATCAGAAGTGTCTGGGAGAACTAGATGGGCAGGAAAGTAGTTTATAAGACTGACTCCAAGCAGCAGTAGCCCTGCCCCTACCCCAAGAGAAGCAGCCGTAGTAGCAGCAGCACAGCCATGATGGTGATGATGACGACACCAAGTCATATTACTTAATCCTTTAAAGTTTTAAATGTCCTTTCATGCATATTATTTTATTTTACCCTCGCAGCAACCTGGCTGGGTCCTTCCAGATAAGGAAACTGAAGCCTGTAGACGGTTAAAGTGGCTTGCCCCAGATCACACAGCTAATGTGAAGGGACTTCTGACTTCCATGACACAAATGAAAATATTGTCTTCCTATTCTTAGGCTTTTTTCACTACTTTTACTTTGTAATGTGTCACTACAACCTCCATGCGAAGTTAATGGAGCTGGAGTCAACTTCTTCTAATCCTCAACAGTGTTGCTATTTTTCCATTTATTTTTGACAGGAGAATACCAAAGAAGGCAAAAACAAAGCATTTTATTCCACTTCTCATGCAGAACTTAGAAGGCCAGCCAACAGATTTGCCAGGAAATCACTATTAGAATAAATCTGGAACCATCACAATCACTGAGGGATGTAGCCAATCAGGTAATTCTCTGGGCAGGAAGAAGACAGGCAGCTACTGCAGCCTCTAAAATACAGCTGCAGCAAGCCTGCAAAAGCTTCCACAGCCTGAGCATGAAATCCCTTCCTAATTAGGCCTCCGATGCACACGATATTCCACCCGGTGTTATAGCTGTGTCTCCACGTCTTATTTTCCCTCCAATATCATCAGTTTCTTGAGGGCAAAACTCCATGTTTTGGTTTCTTCCTCCCCTCCAACAATTCTTCCGAACCCTGGCACTTCCTAATATTTGTAATATCAGCACCATTTATCAAGCCTGCCCTTGGTATTCACCTTAAACAGATTTTGCCTGTATAAAACTGATACGGAAGGGTAGAGAAGTTCCTTTGCTCTAATTTGTATCAGGCTCCACATGCCTAGGGATGGCCTTTCTTAATTCCTACAGCATTCTTATAATGATACTTTCCCAACTATACAACACTTTTGATTACCCATGGGAGAGAGTTAAATAATGTAAATAAATTTTTTTTTTTTAAAGATGAGATAACAAAGATTTTGTTTTCTGGTGTGAGTTTTTGACCTAAGAAACAGGATGCCTTGGCTCTTACCTGGTAGAAAATGGCCAGCCTTCCATAAAGGAAACCTTTAGTCGATGACCTCCTTCTACCAGGGGACTCTCCCCACAGCAACCCTCTGTACTTCACTGTAGAGACAGAAATTCTGCTAATAACAACTTATATATTATTTGAGATTATTGCCTAATCAGCATTTCCACCAGAAAAGGAGCACAGGGAAAAGTGTTCCTTGAGGAAGAAGGCGTCAGAGGTGGCATTTAAGTCAGAGGTCAGCAAACTGTGTCCCATGGGGCAAATCTTGGTCACCATGTACTTTTGCAAGTAAAGTTTTATTGGAACACAGCCATACCCATTTGCTTACAGATTGTCTTTGGCTGTTTTCACACTACAATAGCAGAGCTGAATAGGTGCAGGAGAGACCATCTGGCCTGCAATGTCTAAATCATTACTACCTATCTGGCCCTTGACAGAAAAAATTTTCTGACCCTTAACCTAGACAGTCTAAAAGCTTACCAGGAAATGTTATCATCACTCATTGAGGTTCTTGATCAAGTTAACCTCTAGGTTTCTTTCTGTTGATATGTCCAAAGAGGAGCAGAATATATCAGGAGTGCTGACACCTAGGTAGAGACGTTATCCACTGACCAAGCACTCATCTGCAGGACAGAAAAATAGAAGTATAGTTCAGGTGTGGCAAGCCTAAAAGCCTCTGGGGCCAAACAGGTAGCATACATTGCAGTAGGCCAGGTGGGGGCTACGGTGAACTAGAGAGCATGTGCTCACTAAAGAGATAGGTTCAGCTCTGTTGTCTTGCAAGAATGTAGGCCTGGTGTTTACCAGGACCTCTAAATTTTCAGGACTTCCCAGAAACGTGTTTCTTTTTGTGGAGTCTCCTGATATTTAAATGGTGACAAGCTGGTTAAAAGTAAAAATAGGAGGAGATCCACACAAAAACCTGCACATGGATGTTTATAGCAGCTTAATTCACAATTGCCAAAACTTGGAAGCAACCAAGATGTCCTTCAGTGGGTGAATGGGGAAATAAACGGTACATCCATGCCATGGAATATCACTCAGCACTAAAAAGAAATGAGTAATCAGGCCACAAAAAGACATGGAGGAACCTCAGATGCATATTACTAAGTGAAAGAAGCCATTCTGAAAAGGCTACATGGTGTATGATTCCAATTATATGGCATTCTGGAAAAGACAAAACTATGGAGACAGTGAAAAGATCAGAAGTTCCTAGGGGCTAAGAGGAGGGAGGGATGAATAGGCAGAGCACGGAGGATTTTTAGGGCAGTGAAGCTACTCTGTATGAGACTATAATGGTGGATACATGTCTATACGTTTGCCAAAGCCCAAAGAATGTACAGTCCCAGAATGGACCCAGATGTAAGTATGGAGTTTGTGTGATAATGATGTGTCAATATAGATTCATTGATTGTAAAAAATGTGAAACCCTAATCATGTTGTCTGTGAATGGAAGAGTCCAAAGGAAAAATCGAAGTATCATTACCAGAATGGATGCTAGGATGCAAAACAACAGAATTCCACTACACCAACTTACCCAAGTTAGCAAGGACTTTTTAAATTCCCTCCTCTTTGCCCCATGTCAGGGTCAGTGGAGAAGATAAGAAGATTCTAAAACACCAGGCAGGTCATTACAAAGATGCCTTCATTTATACTGAAGTATGAACAGCTGACATTCTTCATAAATATTGAGGATTGTTGATGGTGGACAGCTCTGTCTCAATGGCAATTTCCATATGAAAAGATCAAAATGAGAGTGAAGCTACAGAACTTGTGATAGTCATTAAATGTTTCACGTTTTAGGCAGGATACAAATGGAACATTAATATATAACAATTATTTGGGCTGAAATCAAGTATAGCATCTTACATTAAGAGGATTAATTAGTTAATGTTTACAAAGTACCATGCAGATATGCCCTTTTAAAATGCTAAGTATTCTAAAAACTACATTGTAGCATTTTACTAAATGTAAAAAATCTAATGTTCATCATTTCTTTGGTACAGGTTGGCAAAGATTCCTTTGGCAATGATTATATAGAAAACTTGAAACAGAATGATATTTCTACAGGTAAAATTTCATCTTTCTTAAAGTTAGTTTTTATAACTTTCTTCTGGAATCTGGTTACAAGTTGAAATTACAATAGAATTATTAGATCCTCCCCTGGTGGCCAGAGAATTTTTATGCACAGCTTTGTCTAGTCTTGCTTAAATATCCTTTGGTTAATTCTTTCATGTACGTTTCTCCAGACAGGAATAAAATGATAGGAGGTTACAAGCATTCATCTCATAGAAATGTTTCAAAAGTTGGGCTTCCCTGGTGGCACAGTGGTTGAGAGTCTGCCTGCCGATGCAGGGGACATGGGTTCGTGCCCCGGTCCGGGAAGATCCCACATGCCGCGGAGCGGCTAGGCCCGTGAGCCATGGCCGCTGAGCCTGCACGTCCGGAGCCTGTGCTCCGCAACGGGAGAGGCCACAACAGTGAAAGGCCCGCGTACCGCAAAAAAAAAAAAAAAGTAGGTGACAAGAGAAAACAGGTGCTGCATTCACAAAAGATATCTTAAGAAAAGTCATTGAATGTCATAGCTGGAAATGATCTTAGAAACCACTGATGCTGATACCATCATTTCACAAAAGAGAAAACTGAAGGCCAGATTGGTTCTGAATTTGTCCAAGAGCACACAGTTAGCTAGAGCCAGAGCCAGGACTGGAGTGCAGGTCTTTGGCTCCAGTTCAAGGCTCTTTGCTGCTGCCAAAGGCTGCCTGATCAACATTTCCATTTACACGCCAGACCATAGTTCTTAAAGAGATGCGAAGCTTATGAAAATGAAGAAAATCAAACAATCTCATTTTATGAGTTTGACCTTTAGTCTTTCATCTCAAGTCTGTCATTTCTTTCACTGAAGAAAAGAAATATGGTGGTCTAGAAAAACGCATATGTGTACAACTGTGAATAATCTGAAGGCATTGGAAGCGGGGGTGGTTTGCTGGGTTGCCACTAATGTAGAAAAAAGGCGCAGCTAAGTGTGAAGACTTGTATTTTTCTCATTGTATAGGTGATGGGTATAAATTAGCACTAATTACTTATTTCTTTTTTATCATTCCAGATGGTTAAAGGTTAAAAAGTTTTTCCAAGGATTAGTGGTGCATTGAAATTGTTAAAATAGATTATCCTTGCCAGGCTGTACATACGTGACTGTGATTTCCTTTTTCTTTTAGAATTTACATATCAGACTAAAGATGCTGCGACAGGAACTGCTTCTATAATTGTCAGTAATGAAGGTATGTGTTTCACATATTGGAGTATCATTTCCAGAACTAGAGCAGAAGCATCAATTTTTACCCTATTCCTATGGATCTCTTACCATAACCACCACTCCAAGTTTTAATGTATGGTCTTTCCAATCTAAATATATATGTTGCCCTTTACTTATACTTCCCTAGTTGATCATTCAAATACAGAATTGTCCATCCAATACATATGAAGTGGTATAGTTGCCTCAAAATTATACTTATATTCTGTAGCATCCCATTACCCTTCATGTGAACCCAGAATTGATATTTCTCTCTAAAGTAGTTAAGTATTCATCTGTCATTTCAGTTACACTAAGTAAATAAATGTAAATAGATAGGTGCAAAAGAAAGTTGATGAATCATATTTATAGAATATTTACTGAGCAAATGGCAGCAACCAATTACTTCTAACTTATTGTTAGTGTTCAATTTTGTCTGCTCTTTAAACAGCAACCAAATCTCAAAAGTCTATATATACAGCTATGCCTGTCACGAGGCCTTGCAATAGTTGAAACATTTGTCTTTTAAAAACAGAAACTTCCAGGATTTCACTGGTGGCACAGTGGTTAAGAATCCACCTGCCAATGCAGGGGACACAGGTTCGTTCCCTGGTCCGGGAAGATCCCACATGCCGCTGAGCAACTAAGCCCGTGCGCCACAACTGCTGAGCCCGCATGCCACAACTACTGAATCCCACGCACCTAGAGCCCATGCTCTGCAGCAAGAGAAGCCACCACGATGAGAAGCCCGTGCACCACAACGAAGAGTAGCCCCCACTCACTGCAACTAGAGAAACCCCGCGCACAGCAACAAAGACCCAACACAGCCAAAAATAAATAAATTTATCGGGGGGAAAAAAACAGTAACTTCCCTTTACCCTCAAGTAAACTTTTCATAATTGCTGCCAACTATTTTAAGTATAAAAACACCTACATAAGATTTTTTTTCTTTTTCTTTTTCTTTTTTTGCGGTACGCGGGCCTCTCACTGCTGTGGCCTCTCCTGCCACGGAGCACAGGCTCCGGACGCGCAGGCTCAGCGGCCATGACTCACGGGCCCAGCCGCTCCGCGGCACGCGGGATCCTCCCGGACCGGGGCACGAACCCGTGTCCCCTGACTCCCAACCACTGCACCACCAGGGAAGCCCTACATAAGATTTTTTAAAATTAGAATTAACATTCAGAAGGACCAAGCATTTCATGGAGCACCTAGGACAGAAGAATCTACTGCATTGTGAGAAGTCACGAGTGCGTTGTTTTAAATTAGGATTTCTCACAATATGTCTTTTATTTATAATGCAGTTTCACAAAATCATTTATCATGAAGTTATGGTATTTTTAGTTCTACTTTAGTGATCTCAAAGTTGCAATAACAACCCCCCAAAAAATATATTCCACTTAAAGACAGTAGACAAAAGATTTCATTCTAACAACAGTCTGTGTCCATTATTTTAAGCTACATTTAAGTAATTATTGCTGCTAACAGCAGCTCATTCCCTGTCTTAAACCTCTTTTTTGTGTTCTAGGGATATCGAGTTCTGTTTCTTTCTTATCTGTGTAACAAAATACTGCATTTTCCGTGCAAAGATATTTAATATTGTGTATGGGGTGCCTGTTACGGTAGACTCTGTCTGGTTTATAGTGTATGGTAATGCCCTCGAGAGTATAGATTGTAGTAGAAGAGCTAACACAAATACCCAGAGAGGCAACAATCAGCATCTTTAAATGAAGGGATGAGTAGCAGTTTTGACAAGTTTAATTTGAGGCATGAACAAGCTCGCCATATGGCAGTGTCCACCAGACAAATTTCGTCTTGGGCTTTGTCACTCATCAGCCAAGGCCAGGCCAGAAATGTCTATTCAGGAGTCAGCAACACAGAGCAGCAGTTGACTGTAGCAGAGAGAATGAGGTCACTGAAGGAGAAAGGCGAGGAGGTATGCTGTCTTTCAGTGTGCGGGTACTTTGAATTTTTCCAGTACTGAGATAGGGTTTATGCTGAACCATCCCCACTTTATTAAGTCCTCCTTGGCCAACAGACACATCTGTGGTAAGATGATAGGCCAGCATGTGTTCTGCGGTCAGAGGTAATTTTAGGTCACGTCTATACAAGATCAGCACAAGCAGCCTAGAGCACAGAAAAGACTGATGCAACTCATCCCCCTAGGTCAGGCTGTCCTATAGGATATAATGCAAGCCACGTCCATAATTTTACATTTTCCATTAGCCACATTTTAAAAAGTAAAAAGGAACTGGTAAAATTAATCTTAATATATTCACTTAACTCAATATATCCAAAATATTGTCCTTTCAACGTGTAATCAAAATGTTCTTTAAAATTAATGAGGGACTTCCCTGGTGGTGCAGTGCTTAAGAATCCGCCCACCAATGTAGGGGACACGGGTTCGAGCCCTGGTCCAGGAAGATCCCACATGCCGCAGAGCAACTAAGCCTGTGCGCTACAACTACTGAGCCTGCGCTCTAGAGCCCGCAAGCCACAACTACTAAAGCCTGCTCGCCACAACTACTGAAGCCTGCGCACCTAGAGCCCGTGCTCCACAGCAAGAGAAGCCACTGCAATGAGAAGCCCACACACCGCAACAAAGAGTAGCCCCCACTCACTGCAACTAGAGAAAGCCCACGCGCAGCAACGAAGACCCAATGCAACCAAAAATAACTTAATTAATAAATTTAAATAAATAAAATTAATGAGATATTTTACCTTCTTTTCTTACAACTTAGTCTTTGAAATCTGCCATGTATTGTACGATTGAAGTACATTGCAGTCTAGACAAGCCACATTTCAAGTGCTCGGTCACCACATGTGGCTTGTGCTCATGACTACCGTATTGGACAGCACAGCTCCTGAGAGTTCACCTGACAGAGAAAATGCACCACCACGCCTCCCTCACTTGTGTGGGATTGTAGAGAGTGGGTCCAAGTGATAAGCATACAAGATTCCTTAGTCCTGCTTCTGTTTGATCTAGTACAGTATAGGCCAAATATCACTCTCTCCCTGCCTTAAGTTATCTCATATAGTTTTTCATGTTTGATATCATAAAATGTGTTTTGATTTACAAAATCACTTTTCTGAATACCCTGGGGTACACACATGAACTGACTGCATGTTAAAGAGCATGAGTTTTTAGCATTAAGCAAGCTGATTCCTATTTATACTCATCATTATGACCTCTGTCATTTAGGATTCAGAATCTTTACCACATATATTGTACCAGCCATTTCCCATAAGAGAAAACTTTTAAGTATGTTATATATAATTCATCAGCTAATATTCTTTGTAAATATATAAGAATATTGATAAGGGAAATCTTTTGTTTTAGATTTTTTCTCAAGATGATCAGAATAACGTGATACCTACAGAGATGTAAAGGAAGATCCATTAGGAATATGAAATTTAACCTGAAT